CACTCGAGACTTCTATTTAGATATCTTTCAATTTTCGTACTATTTCACAGAGAACAGCAGCCGCCCTGACAGATGACTAAGTGACTGAGAAATTGATACTGAGCCATCTCCTGCCGAGAAAGAGACAGAAGGTTGCTCATTTCCCTGAAGCATCTTTGAGTCAAACAGAAGTGGCATCGGAGACACAGGGCGGCTTCACTTTCTCATCTTTCTTTAAAGGGATAGTTTGTCTTTAATTTGCTCGTTCACTTGCTGAAAGTTAGATGAGAAGTCTGATACCTCACTCATACCTGTTTTTTAAATAGGAAGCATGGTGCAGCAGCCAGTTAGCTTAGCATAGAGACTGGACAAAGGGAAGCAGCTAGCTGACGTTAAATTAGTTGGTTTAATCATAAAAAGACAGAAGTGAACACACTATTATTTGACCAGTAGAAGTGACGTGGATTGTTTACCTGTGGAAGGCACCAGCCTCTACCCTTTATGCTAAGCTAAGCTAACCATCTCCTGCCTGTAGCTTCACATTTAGCTTACAGACATGAGATTGGTATCAATCAACAAGACTAACGCTTGTCAAGAAAGCTAGTAAGTATTGCCCAAAATGTCAAACTATCACTTGTATGAATGGAAGACATGAAATGACGTATGTGCCCTTTTTTTAAGAAGTGATGTCGAATACAGGCCAAAGAGCAGTTTAATCTTAGCTATTGGAGGTTTACTGCCCCACTCAAAGGCACTTTAAAGACCTTGAAAACTAACTTCCTAATACTTAATGTTAAAGGACTAGTGGGTAGGATTTAGTGGCATCTAGTGGTGTATTATACACTGATGAAAACATACCTATGAATATTATATTCCATTTCTGCCAATAGGTCTCCCTAAATGATTAACTATTTTGGATTTTAATGTTTTCAGGGGGTTTTCAGGCTTTGAGGGAAGAGAAAGTGTTATTGCCACATCACATTTTTTCTCAATTTCCCAGGGGATCCGAACTGATGACCTGCAGATGGTTACACTTCTGTTCCGAGCACTGTGCACTTGCATGATAATAACTGCACGTGAGTTTAATCAGGGGATCAATGTCAGGCTGCAGGGACGGACAACATCACATGACACAGCCAGACAGTTTATTGAATATGGAAAAACAAAAAGTGACACACTCTTCAGCGCGCTCATGTTTTATGTAGTGAAAAGAAGCAACATTTCAGCACATAACGCCTTTATCAGGGTGGAGAGCAGAGCCGGCTGCCGCAGACAGAGAGAGAGGGGAATTCACTCTTTTGACATTCTCTGCTTTGTCACTATAGCTCTGTGACGTTCCTCTTCTTTTGTTAAAAGAGGGCTGCACAAGGTGCATCATGGGAGCAGAGGAATCTGATGACAGGAAGCATATTGTGAGGTGTCCAGAGCTGACATTACACATCCTATTATGCAATCTAGCCAACAGCTGCCGTCGTGGAAAAAACAACTCTTTTTGGTCTTCTTACTTGAACTGAGACGTCACACAGTCATTCATGCCTTACTGAGTCAGTTTCCTGAACCAACAAACTTGTCAGATACTTTGATTTAACATTTCTGGGCACAGAAAACAAAAGCAGGCTCGTCACCCTTCCTGAAAATGCATCTTTATGTGGTTACAGTCAGTGTTTTTTTCTCCAGATGAAGTCAAATGTCAGTTAAAGTAGATGTAGGTCAGGATGCTCGGTTTTGGACGCCTGATGTCAGCGACAGCCCCGCCCGCTGATTAGTCAAAGTGAGGAGTGTAAAGTGGTGACAAGTCTGATGACTGATTCTCTTAGTGGGCACAGTCTGCATATCTGTCACACAAAAAGACAAGTTCCTGCACAACCTTCTGGCCTGCAGGGTGGATGAATCGAGTCCTACGTCATCATTTGTAGAAATGTATTGACCAACACACTGCTGCTGCTGCTGCTGCTCGTCATCCTGAACGCCCAGAGCTAGTTCACACTCCGAAAAGCCAAATCCATGAACTCAGTCAGAAGGTTATTTGAAGAAACATACACATTTCATAATTTAGCTTTTTTTGTTCACTTAGTATGTCAGAAAGAGACTCAGAAAAGGGGGACGGCCCATATCTGCCAGAACTGATACATTTAAGACTCAAAGTCACAAAATGAGACAAAAGGGAACAAATTGGCACAATCAGCCGATCTTATCTGCGACCTGGCTTGTACAGTCGGAGCAGGGGAATGTGGGTGTGGGTTGGGAGTGTTTGGGAGCACAGAGGTTGGGGTGTGGGAGATGGGAAGTGGGAGGCGGGAGGTTTACAGGCAGGGCCTGATGGAAGGTACTGCAGCTTATATCCTTATAAGGAAAAACCTGGACAAATTAGCTATGGCAGTTAACACCTGAACTCCACCTTCCAGCTATGAAAACAAAAGAAAGAAATGTTACAGATGGAAAAAAAGATGAGGTGTGTGTTCTGTTTGTTCGTTTAACAGACTGATACATAAACAAAGCCCTTTTGTTGTTTAAGTGAAAATATGCGGGAGCTGCAGCTTTAAGTAACATCTGGCCCGGCGTACCTGAGACACCTGGGTCTGCAAAGACATTAAGATTCCAAGATAAGAGGATGCCAGCGCCCTGATACTTGGGGGGTCAGGTTAAGACTTGCATCGGACTCAAAATATTTTAAGCACTCTCTGACATGCTGGGTTCGTGTGCGTCAAAGTGGATTGCAAAACAGAGCCAAACAAAACCTCCTCACCTGTGCAATTTGTACTTCTTTGCTGCTTTTTTTGGGTAAACTCTAGATTAACAGACTTCAACACTCTGCTTTGAAACAGGATTACTGTGGCGGTAAATATTTACCGTCCAATTATCACTTCTTGACAAAGGAATGATCTTCAGGCTGTAGAGAAGTAAAGCAACACACTGAACAATTGTGGGCTCTTTTAACTCCAGTTATATGCATATGCTTGCCTGCAATCTGAAACATGCAAATGACCAACTGTCAGTAATTCCTTCTTCTTTTCATATATTTTTTGTTATATGTTTCATTTTTCAGAGCTTGTATTTTATTTAAATGAACCCACCAACGTCTATATTGAAGGCTACTGATTCGCCTCCAAGATGACAGTTAATTCATTTAAGCACTAAGCAGGTCAGGATTTTACATATCTCCATAATACAATCAGCAAACTCCTAGATTATCTGTTCGTCAGTAGCAAAGCTGCTTGCTGAACCCTGGAGGGGATCTGGGCGGTGTGTGTTTATGTGTGTGGCTGTGCATATGGATGAATGTGTGTGTGTGTGTGTGAGGGAGTAAACTGTCTCGCCCTGTGGCCGGGGACAGGGGTGCATGCCTGCCAGGGGGGGCTGCTGTCATCCCTTTCAGCCTGTAATTGTGTGTGCCTCTAGTCAGATCTCAACATAACCACTTATCACTGCTCTCCGTGGAGAGGAATGGATGAATAAAACATTCCTGCTCTCTGCCGGGTGATTAGATCAACGAGGGTCACGCAGGCTCAGAAATGTGTGGGTCATCAGAGGAAAGTATTTCACCATGGATTCTTCTTTTAGGTCTCTGATCCAGACAGGAGTGTCTGACTAAACCAGATCAGGTGCTACTGTTTCCTTCAAGCCTGTGTAAACGCTCTCTTTATTACATGAAGAGTTTTTAAACTAAAAAGACACTAAAGAAGTAGCAGCACAGGATGATGTCTTGAAATGAAGACTCCCTGTGTGCTGTTCACACCTGACATCAGCCCTGCATACCTTCCCTTTATTTCCTCTAACTCACTTTCGACCGGTAGCAGCCTGCCGATGACATAATCCAGGAAACTAGAAGCCGAGAGCTTCGCAGTGCAAGAAAGAAACTTGGGGAAAAAGTTTTCCAACGGCAGCGAGAGGGGCCGATTATTACCATTTTTGGGCACGCTTGCTCCCATGCAAGCCCAGCCCAAACCGCAGCGCTTACTCAGATTCCACAGCGCTTTTTCTTCCCCGTTTTTCAAAGCGGAGGCAGAGTATGGGGAGCAGAGCAAAAAGTAACACCCCTTCGCGAAACAGACCATTCATACTCTGTCTGGAAAAGGATCAGCAGCTGCTAGACGCGTGTAGATGATCTGGGCTTGTTAAGACAATATATGGATGTCTTACAGCTCTTTATTATAAGGAGGACCCGTATGCACGCCGGGTTATGGAGCTCATATTCATCCAAAGGGGGGGAATAAAGCAGTAATCTCTAAAAACATTTAAAGATGAATAAACTAACTTCCAGACTGCGGCTATAATACATCAACCGACTTCTAAAACAAACATAAGATCTATTTATTTGCCGCAAACGTCTGTATTGCGCTGCTGTAACGTGCACAATCCGCGCGTAAACTCGGCTAATAAAGGAGATGCAGACTGAGTTATGGTGGGTTTACCCCCCTACTCCTCACACACACACACACACACACACACACACACTCCATCCCCCGGTTTTTTAAGCATGGCCTAATCCACGTCGCATCATAAACCAGATGACAGGAGGGGCCAGTCAAGCGCATGGCTGACATCTGTTGCGCTGGAAAGGTGGGCGCCCTGTCCAGTTTTTAATTGTTTTCAACCCCCCACCCTTCTACACACTCACCCCCTCCTCCTTTCCACTCTTTCCCTCCTGCTGCACAGATAATGGGTGGGCCTCCTGCGTTTAATTGCCGCTACAGGATATTTCATAAGGCTCTACAGGATGTGTACAAGTGTGTTGCGAGGTCTGGAGGCGAGAAAAGTTTTGGAGCAGAATCGGGACCCTGATAAAAGTGGTCCGGAAAGCCGCACAGGTGATCATCAACGCGATAATCAGCCTAATAGTTCAAACAGAGCTGCCGGTCGGTGCCAAAGTAGTCCAACACACGCAGCAGACACCCTAATTAATCAGTGATAATAACATGAATCAGCTTTATTATTATTATTATTATTATTATTATTATTACCACCATTAGCAACAACCCATTCCCACCTTTACACCGGAGGCAGAAGGAAGCCAGTCTCACCTTTCTCTGTTGCTTCTCCCATGCAGGATCCAAGAGGAGATCCCGATCCCAGTCATCTTCTGGTTGCATATAATTTTCTTCTCCATCATATTGATCCATATTATACATGTATCGATAAAGCTTTATATATAGATATATGGACGCTCTCGGCTTCTCTCGTGTGTCCCCCGGTCCTCGGCGAGGTGATGTTGTACAGCAGCAGTATATTAGCTCAGTCTACTCTCCGCCACGCATTCAAGACGGTGTGTGGATGAAATTAACGGTCCACCCCCGGCTTCTCTCTCTCTCTCTCTGTTCTCTTTCTCCTCTCCTCTCCTCTCTCTCTCTCTCGTTGTTGTCTCTCTTCTCTCTGTGTCTCTCTCTTTTTCCCCCTCCAACTCTGCGTCTTTTCTCCCTCTATCTGCTCTAGTTTTCGCCCAGCAGGAGCACGCAGCGGTAGGCAGGCAGTAGGCAGGTCTAGTGTCGAGGAGCGACAGACGCAAAAACTTTGCTTCAGCAAATTGAATCGATAACCGACCGAGGAATCTGATTGGACGCTGCGGGGAGGACAGGACCCGCCTCCTTGAAGCGGATTGGCTGGTTCGGCTGTCAGTGCGCAGGCTTTATAGCCAAGGTTGACTGCATAGGTTGATCCAAACATCTGACTGTTTGACTGAGAGGATACTTCAGGCTGTAATCTGGGTAAGACTAGTGTAACGCGTTACTTTACACTACTTTAAATTTCTGAAGAACTAATTAAACATTTAAATAACTTCGGATGAAGCACTTTTGGTAATTTAATTGGGTTTAGCAGTGATTAAAGATGTAATTCCTTCATTTAATATCAAAATACTCAGTTGATTGGATGATAACTAGTACATTTACTCAATGTACTGCTATTTAAGCTCAGTTTTGAGCTAATTTGAGTATTTCCATGTTATGCTGCTTTATACTTCTACTCCATTACACATTTATGGTTTACATTTAAAATCCTAATGTGAAAAGAAGCAAACAAACTGCTATAGATTAAATGTTGTGAAGTAAAAAGTAGCCTACAACATTTTCCTCTGAAATGTAGTGCAGTCATAAAAAACTGGAATAAGTACGTAAATATGTGCAGTACTAAAGTATAGTACTTGAGCAAATATACTTAGTAGTTACATCCCACCACTATATTTACTGAACAAATACAGGACTTTTACTTGTAACTGAGTACATCTTTACTGTGGTATTGCCAGAGGTGGAAGAAGTATTCAGGTATTTTACTTAAGTAAAAGCAGCAATGCAAAAAAAGTAGCAGTGTAAAATAAAAGTAACATATAAAAGTATAAGCATTTAAGTAAAACTACTCATTATGCTGGATGGCCCATATATATTCATATATATCATATATTATTCATAACCTGAGCGTGGCAGAGTGACACTTGGACTGCAAAGGAATCAGTCAATTAAAGGAACTGAGGATCCTTTTGCATCTTAATAATACAATGCAATATATATGTTTGCTTTTGGCACCTGGCCCATCACTAAGTTTCAGTTTTGGCCCTCAAAGAGCAAAAGTTTATCCACCCCTTTCATATATACTACTATATTATTAATGTGTATATAAGTTATCAGCATGGTAAAGGTGGGGCTAATTTGGATTACTTTATATACAGCTGAGTAGCTTAAACTGTAATAATTGTATAATGGAAAATGTTTGGACACCCCTACTACAGATGAAACTATCCAACAGTGGAGTAGTTAAATTTAGCACAACCTTAAACACAGCAGTGCAGTAAAATGCAACATGCACATTAAACAATCCAAATACATCATATATAATACTAAAACACTGACACGGAACATTTTACTACAGAACACTTTTTATACTTTAAGGCTATATTTTTCTTACTGTATAGTTAAGTTAAGGAGTATTTCCACAGTGTGGTATTAGTACTTTTACTTAAGTACTAAAGGATCTGAATACTTCTTCCAACCCATTTTAAATACTGTCCACTGTACAGTATTTACTGCACTTGCGCACAACAGACTTCCAGTCATTCAGAAAAGAAAGGTGAGTCACGACGCAACTCCTATAAACATGTGAAGCGAAGGCAGGTCTGTCTGCCTTGTAAGGTAAACTGACTCTTTCCTCTCCCTCTCTCTGTCACACACACACACACACACACATTCACAGTCACACAGAGAGTGAGAGAGAAAGAGAGAGCAGGAAAGATGCAGACACGGGATAGCCCCGACAGTCAAGAGAAAGTGGAGCACTCTTCCATATATGGACAAACTTCCAAGGGTGAATGTTTGGGAAAGTGATGTCACGCACAGGGAGCAGGCTGCCAGCACTGCCTGGTCCCCGGCTGAAGGAAGCGGCCTGTGGCTCCTGTGCAGAGCAGCAGCCCGGTGGTGATGAAAGTCAATGATAGAACAAAACTAAAAGTAGCTGACTGCACAGCTCATCAGTAATGGAGTCTGGAGATAATTAGCCACTTCTCCATTAGCTAATTAACCTACAGTCATTTGAAGAAACAAAGTAATTCATTAAATTTACATTTAAATTGTACTACTCAGAAAATAGGCTCTTGGCTAAAAGGTTATACAGTGTTCCCTATCCATGCCAATTAACAACTCCATTAGATTATCCATGTTTTCAAATAATAAATGATTTAATTAGTTTATAAATGGATTTGCTAAATACACTTGAACAAAAGTCTACAGTCGTGCTAGCAGCTGTGTGAGGCTGTACTTGGGCGCAGCGGTGCCAGGGGCGGATCCAGAGAAATATTCATGGTGGCATAAACATAAGCATATGTAAAGCTGCCAAATTAAAATATTTTAACTCAAAAACGTTACATTATTGTGTATTATTATTATGAATAAAGCACTGAATAGAAACACCTATAAGAAAACAACATATCTTCAGACATTTTTCCAGTGTCTTCTTTCATTGAACATAGCCGTCCCTCCAGGAAGTTACTAAAGAGGCTTTTATTTGTTTCTTTGCTAATTACTTTTTTCTTTCATTTGTCTCTTGTGGGATGTCCGTTATGTATTTAAACACACAGCCAGTATACCACACTAAAATCTAACAGAGGTCCAAGCCACAGAGCAGCAACGGGAGCTCTAATTGGCCGGCTGACATAAGAGTCTCTCTCTCTCTCTCTCTCTCCATCTCTATCTCTCGCACGCGTCTTTCTCCT